AAAAAAAAAGTTTTGGCGGAAGATCTATCGATAGGATGAGAAGAGGTCACTGTATTTTTCCATGTTCTAGCAGAATTGCTCATCCTATCGATGAAAGTCGCGTGAGGCAGCCGCGAGTGTGACGACTTACCTGTTCTCTCTCTCTCTCTCTCTCACGCGCACACACACATACACACACCTTTCGAGCAGCAAGCCTCCTCCTTTCGAGCAGCAAGCCTCACGCTTTTATGGCACCTCTGCAGAATCGCTCTGTGTTTTCTATCCTAGCCTTCATCTTTGTGCCCACGTGCATCATCATTTCGGGTGCAAACTGTCTAAATCCCAAGCGTATCGACTGTAAGGCTATATCTTGGCCCTTCGAGCACTGATATTGTTCCTGTTGGGCCTTTGCCAAAAGCTCTATATTCCTGGCCATGATTTCCATCTTTCCCTGGAGATCCGCCTGGCCGTCCACTCCTTGCCACTTTCCACCCACTGACCGACTGGCTACCGCCATTACTCTAAGATGCCGCAAGCATCTGAACTAAAATTCAAAAACGTTGCAGTCTCTCGATAATAAGTCAATCTAAATAACTTTCGGCAAACGTCAATCTCATCAAGTCCTTCAATTCACCGAAAAGGTCAAACAGTCTTCGACGTTGAAAAGCCCGGTATTTGCCTCAACTCTCTATGGACCACAAAGTCCTCCCCTTTGTTCCAACCAGGTTACCACAGCCGACGGAAGCTTTCCCAACCATTGTCTGTTACAATCCTCAACCCAAATGCCCTGCACCTGCGGTCAACCCACCTGGCTTTCACTCCGGTTCATAACCCTGGGTCTCTAGCCTAGACTTATGGCTATGGCTGTCACTACAGGACTTCACTGCTGATCAGGAGGCATTTAAGGAGATCCCCCATAACTCCTTAGGAATTGTTTAACGTCGCAAACAGGACGACGCGATCAACAAGTCCTCTCAGGACATGGCCACCCATTGGAAACTGAATAATGTCAGTTTCGGATGCATATTGTGCGTGCTCGCCTCCTATAGTATACTGCACCAAGAAACAATAAACAAGCATGGACACGTTGTGCAATCAGACTCGTCTTCTTCCTTATTCAACATGCATGAAAACAGATGGCAAACGCACTGGTGCCCGACGCCCACACAAAATTCACAGATATCGTGGCCAAGAACACAGTTCAGATTCAACTTGCTTCGAATGGCTATGGTGCCTATCCACCCTCACAACACCCTTCCACGCTGTATCCTCGGCAGCTGTTCACACGCACGCTACTCAGGATCTCCCTGGATGTCCCACACACACACACAACTCACTGCACACTCATACACAAACACGCTGTAGCCTATCTCTAACCTAGCACAACTATGGCTGCTTGCTACCTCTACCACTAACTAGCGGCTATGGCCGCTTCGTCTCCCTCTCAGCCCACTTCTTCCTCGGGCACCTGCAGACCTCCTTGCACAAGTCGCTCAGGCAGCACTTCCGACCGGCTCACGGTCTGAATGAATCAATAACTGGACGCTGCCTCTTGATTTATACTTCAGTTGGTCACTGGTCTGCTCCTTTCCACCGGACCTAGGGTGCACACAGTCGCACATGGTACTTGCTGACTGGACATGGTACGAATGTGACTGGGTACCGCTGACTGGACCTGGTAAGTCTACCCACTTGCCCACTTGTGTACAGACTGCTTCCAAGACTCTCGAAGGGGCAGTCCAAGTAGACTCTAGACCTTCCTACTTGCCCTTTCGGTACTGCAGCAGCTACGGCTAAGGTTGACCCTTCAGACCTACAGTAGCTACGACCAGACATAAGCTATGACTCCTACCCTACAGGTAAGCAGCTCGAACGTGCTCAACCCTCGTATGTACAACAGCCTTAGACAGACAACTTTCGGGGCAGGTCACGGTTTCAAACCTAGATGGGGAAGACTGTACTGTACACGGGTTCAGGGCAGGTCTAGGGATCTAGCCCTGGGATCTGCATCTGCTACTGGAAAAGTGAAAACTGTTTCACTTTGTCAAAGGCCGCAACAAGCTGTTGCCAAAAGTTCCAGCAAACATTTAAGTAGAGCAAACAATGAACAGCCTCCCAGCTCCTCTCATCAACCTCAAAAGTATTGTGCAGGGCACAGAGGCAAATGATTTAAGATGCAAGACATAAAAAGTCCATATGTCCGACAAGCACACTACCAATGTGGATGAAGTCTTGTACAGGGCAGAGAGCCAAATGACTTAAGAAGCAAGACACATAAAAATCCACATGCCCGGAAAAGATCCA